TTCTAAATGCCAAGCCAGTAAATAGCAAAGATCGATCCGAAGGCACCGGAATGAACGTGCCAAAGCAAAGGTCGAAAATCCACGCAAATGGCTGGGTGTTGTCCGCGGGGGTATGCAAGGAGGAAGAGGAAGCGAGGACTTGTTCGGACTGGCGGATCATCGCAGGCCAAGGGTGCGTTTCGCGTTCTCGTAGACCACGTAGCTGATTGACATAGCGGGTGCCACTTTGAGAAGGTTGGGTGTGAGACCTTTGTAAAGGCCACGGAGTCCCTCTGTTTTGAGTGTGATTCTTAGAACCTCGCCGATCCCTGTGTATGTGGGCGGATGCATGATCGTGCCCTGGGTTTGAAGTCGAGTACGGAGAACATTAAGTGGGTAGACAATCGAGGCACTGAATCCTCCACTCATAGCACCAATTGCACCTGTGGCGAAGTTGCCGAGGGGTACGTCATCCTCATGACAGCCACAGTCACGAGCCTTCTTAGCTAGAAGTGTCCGTTTGAGGTATTCAAATGTCGATAGGTCGATTGCGGCGTAGGGGAACATCCCCACAAGGCCAAGCGGGAGCCCTCGGAAGAATCCAACCAAGCCATTTTTGTTCCACACCTTTCTTGCAGTAGCTGCAATCAGTTGATTGCCTTTCGGGCCATCTTTCACAGTTTCACACTGCATGCGACTATTGATAAGTGTAAGCCACGGTGCTCTGACAAATCACTTGATTCGATATACTCACAATTTTAGGGTATCGAGGGGGTAAACAAAACATCTAGTTCCAATCAGAACCAACTTTCCTCTGATCAATGATACGCGAGACCTACTGGGCAACCATTCCACCAAAGCCACCCGACATAAACTGTGAAGTGGGGAGGAGTCGCTTGGGATCGTTATGTCCTTCGAGTTGTGCAAATGCTCGTTTCGCAGACTGTTCTCAGATCAGCATTTGTCTAGTTGTGTAGACGAGATCGAATATCGAGTACAAACCTCATAGGCACCAAACTTGATCGCAGACTCTGGCATAACCTTCACCACGTTCAAGCCGTTTCCTATTTATAATTAGTCGTTGCGGCTTTGATCCCAGATCATCCAGTAAGACGAACCTGCGAACAAACTCCGTATTCCTCCAGCCCGCCATAAATCCTTGAGTGCATCGAACAATGTTTTCGAAGCGTTGCCCGCCGCAGCCAACGGGGCTCCATCCTTCGCCGCCTGAACCGTTGATGTAATCCCAGTCTGTGCAATGAGATAAACTTTGAGACGATCGAGGGGGGCGGTGGCCGTCCTTGATACGGCACCCGCAATTCCACCTGCAAGGAAGTAACCTAGTTGAGGGGTATTTTCGGTCAACTTCCGTCCATAATATCGGAAAAACATCCGCATGGCGGTAGTCTGGGGAAGAGCCAACCACTCCAACTCCAAGTCGCCGTCTAGCGAGACAAAATCAAGCTCGAAAACGGGTCCCAACTTTGAGATATGGCTGGTTTGCGCGTGCGCTGAGGGAAGGAGGGAGGCCAAGGCGGGGAGGGACAATATGGTGTACAAAAAATGTTGGATGGCTAGAATGTAAGGTGAAAGAAACGGATGGTCTGTACCTAAACCCTGCAGGTCATTGATGTTGACATCTCCTTCCGGGTTTAGATTGCCCGAGGCCGTGTAGTATGAAAGGACGGCGTGTAGGTCGGTCGGGGAATGTAGAGGGAGGAATAGAAGGAAATCCCTAAAAGAAAAAAAAAAAGATTATGTGTCAGCCTAGGCTGTTCAGCCTGCACTTCACCGATGAGAATGCATATACCTCCACTCTGTATAAGAGATCACCCCGTCATTGTTTTTGTCGACCTCGGCGAAAAATCGGTCCAACTTGGCGCTCGAGACTGTTACTCCGGATCGTGAAAAGGCGTTCCGCAATTCTATCTTGTCAATTTCTCCGTTGTGATCTCGATCGATGCTCTGGAACATCTGCCATAACCCGTCCTCGGTGTGGTTGAGAAATGCTCGGAATTCTAGTGGTGATTAGGATTGGACCAAATATTGGCCAGGGCACCCCTTCCCCGAGTAGTGCCTAGGTGGTTCTCGTGAGCTTACCAGCTTGGTCGATGCGTCCATCCCCATTCGTGTCAACTTCCCGCACGACACGGAGTACCATGTCGTCTGCATTTTTTAGAGCTAAGAAGAGATTAGACAAGGGCGCAGATGTGTAGCAATGAACCTGGTCTAACTCACGATGGTCGATTTTCTTTAACCCCTTCTTTAACCCAGTCAGGTCGATATGGCCCTCTTTTCGGGTATCCAGGGTTTCCCAGAGTTTGGCGACTCTTTCGTCGCGTTCATCTTTGGACTCTCCGGATGCCATGATGAAAATTGTTACCGAGCAACCATTATTTTTCTTTGATTTGTTATAAGGGGACGTTCAAAGACCCGAGATCCATAGAAGTTGAGGGGGAAAAGATCGAGGGGAACATAAATGGATGACGTGAGGTAAAAGTTATGAATATGAATGCTCTGGATAAACCAGGTGATTAATCGGCGCCCGGCGATTTGACCTTCCAAGGGCTTTGACGCCATCGGATTATCTTGCACGGGACCAGGGCCAAGCCCTACTATCCCTTTTTAGGATTACAACCTGACCTCATATTAGATGAGTTGATTCTTGATATCTCTATATTATATATTATTAGGTTGTTACATTGTTTTGGTCTGCTCTCTCACAATTGTGTTGGTTCTCCATCTCATTTCATTTTAATACGTGATCTGCGGAGTCAGCTATATAGCCCCCCCCCCCCCCCCCCCCCCCCCCCCCNTTGACGGCTTTCAATTTGCGAGCTTTGCATTATCATACTTTCACTATGGCAGCCAACTACTGGGCATCAACCCAGCGTCGCCACTGGCTATTCTCCAGAGAAAAGCTAGCAGATATCCGTGAGGGATTACGGGAGAAGGATAAAGTTGCCCATTCGCAGTTCCCGCTACCGGATCAAAGACTACTGAATATCTACTTCAACCAGCGTATGTTCTATTAATATATTCATTGCATTGAATGTAACTCTAGGCTAATTCAAATCACAAGAACTCATCAAGCTCGGCAAACGCATGTCCACTAGACAGCAGGCCATTGCGACAGCACAGGTGTATCTCAAGAGATTCTATACCAAGAATGAGATTCGACAGACAAGTCCATACCTTGTACTCACCACAGCCTTCTATCTCGCCTGCAAGATGGAAGAGTGTCCACAACATATCCGCTTTGTGGTCGGCGAAGCACGCGGTCTGTGGCCAGGTATGTGCATCCGTATATAAAGCCACAAACAAACCAAATATTAACTATTTACAGAATTTATTACCCCGGATGTAGCAAAGCTCGGAGAATGCGAGTTTGCCTTAATATCCGAATTGAGCTCGCAACTCATCGTGCATCACCCTTACCGGACTTTGTCCGAACTTCAACCAGAACTATCACTCACCTCGGATGAAGTCGCTCTCGCCTGGTCGGTTATCAACGATCATTATCTGACAGATCTACCACTTCTACACCCTCCCCATGTAATTGCAATTATGGCAATCATCGTCGCTGTTGTATTCAAACCCACCCATCCATCCTCCTACACTGGAACCGGCCAATCGGCTTTGGCAGGCTCCATGAGAGACGGAGGCGGCATGCAGATGCTGGCCGCTTTATCAGATAAAACTGGATCTGGTCCTCCTCCCAAAATTCAGAAGCTTGTCGGCTGGCTGGCGGAAAGCGAAGTTGATATCAAAGCTGTCATCGAATGTACACAAGAGCTGGTCTCGTTGTACGAGGTTTGGGAGCAATATAGCGAGAAGAACTGCAAGGAGCTGCTAGGGAGGATGGTCAAGAGCAAGAACTTGGACAAGTGATACCGTCCCGCATCTTGTACTTTACCCTAATGCACCGGTGTCTCGTTGTTCCAGACAGGCAGCTGGTCCACGTATGTCTGATCTAGTTTTGACTATTTCTTTTTCCCCTTTTAGGAACACTTTCTACTGCCTATCTACCTAGTGAGGTATGGTTGCTAATAAGGCTCCAGCTCAAAAAGGCATCGACGGTAATGATTGCAGCGAGAATCAACTTTCAAGCCGAAGACAAGCGTTGCAATGTGTGACAATGGGCAAACTTGAGAATAATAAAGAACACTACAGTATCTGTGAGATTACTTCCTTCATATCCACCCTCCACTGTTGGAAAAATGTCAACCCAAACTCTTCCAAAAACTTGGGACACGCGCGGTTCAGTTGCCGGAACAACCAAATATTGTGGGCGAATTCAGGGTCAGTTTGGACTCCAAGTTTATTCTGCGTACTTTGAGGATCAACGAACATCTGAAATGAGTGTCAAAGACATGTCATAAATGGGGTGGAACTAACGTTGTTAAGATGAGCTGCATCTCCCGCGAGCACACATCTTCCCCTTCTGAAATTAGAAGCACACTATTGATGGATCCGAGAAAAGATGTGACATGAGCGATCGAGTTCATTTTATCAATTGACGTCTGGTCTTCCGGGTCCAAGCTAACAGCACACCGGTATAGGGTCCGCTTTCCAGCCTAGACGGGTTTTAGTGGAGTGATAATTCCCCAGTATATCTGGTGTACAATGAACTGGCTTGGGGATTATGTGTCAAGATTTGGATCCTCGAATAGGAAATCGATGGATATTAGTTTCTCTGGCCAGCTGTGTCCTCTCAAAGGAATACCCAAAAGCTTCCTGGTAGCCGACTGGCCGCTATCAGCACCCACTAGATAGGATGCTTGGAATACTATTTCGGCATCACCTCTCCTAGTCGTACCTCCGACGCCTAATACATTTTGCTCAATATTGATGAGGGTCTCTTCAAAATGCACTGTGACCAAGCCGGTTGCGGTTGCTTTCTTGAACAACAATTTGGTCAGCTCTGGCTGAGGCAGTTATCAGACGCCGCGGACACCTTGGGACTCTTTTGTATCTCGAGGAATAGGCAAACGAGCGATCACGTCCCCTATGGTGTAACCTCACTGACCATCGGCATGGATTGGCTTACGCCAGCAAAACCCCTCAGAAACAGACCCTACCTTCTCCATATCCGGTATCACCCCCATCTTGTTCATGGTATTCAGTGCGCTCGCATAATAAGCCACAGCACGTGGCTCCTCGTCCACTCTCGACTCCTTCTCTACCACGTCGACCACTATGCCAGCTAGGGCAAGCCTGAGGGTGATAGCAAGCCCAACTGGGCCTGCACCCACAACTAACACGGTTCTTTGTGGTTTCTCGGAGGTATGGGTAGTTTTCGAAGATTGCAACGTCATGGTGTTCCAATAATAAGTTCAAGTGGAAGATCAAAGAACGGGGAAAATGTGCGAAAACGGGTAACCCACTTTGGAAGGGTTGAACAGCAGGCAATCAGAGACTTATCTGCATCCTTTATGTCTTTCTACTATAGGGTATTTCAAGCGATTGTCCTACTTTGTGCTACTTTGTGGGCGTTGAACTGAGGACAAGTCGGGCATCTATATACAACTCATCGGTACTAATCCAAAGAAACGATGGCCGGTGGGGAACGAAAGGGGCATTACCATTACTCAGAACAAGCTTCTCGTATTTCTTTCACTTGCCTTCGCATAGTATTTCATCCGGCCCCTCAATTGTCCACAAGTATGGTCATTACATGTCACCCAGCCTGATAGGAGAGGCAAATCTCGCCTGGAGGTTTTTGGGACAGGATGTAAACCAGTACACTGTCGGGCGAGGAAAGGTGAAAAATAGAGAAATTGGAGGGGGGGGTTTATACTGGTAGTGGTAGGTGGAGACGGCGCGCATTCCCAATCCATGGATAGCTTCATGCAGCCTTAGGCCATCATGCCGTTCAATGATCATGGTACGGCGAAATGGTAAGATCCTACCTATGTTCGTGTCTGAGATCATATAGTCCTCCAGCGCATCATGGCCTCTGTTCACTATATAAATAGTCTTTTTCTGTCTCAATGTGTTTAGCTGTTATAACTAGTTATCTTGTGTGGCGTGACTACAGGGAAATAAGAAGACAATCGGCGTATAGTTGCCCCGATGTCGCATGGATATACTAATCTCAAGATTATATTTAAGATTTTCTAGACAAAGAAAGCGGTTTTACTCGGTGATAGAGACACCTTGAACTCTCGAGGCAAGAATATGAGACACTTTGAAGGCCTACATTTCAAATAACAGATCCCATCTTTGCTCTGTATGAAGATATTAACTTGCTACAATGGATATAGAAATGCTAAATATAAAGATAGGTGTAGCATGTTCGGGACCTGACAAATTAGGCATACACTTTCCAACCTCGGATTCCATCTTAACCAAAGGCACTCCTTCCCCCATATATAAGAATTACTCAAGTGTAATAAAGATAAACTCAACCAAAAATAATGTTTAAAGAATATCAGAATCTAGACCTACCTGTCATGCTGTCATGCTGTGCAACAAGGATGGCCTCGACTCCGCAAATCGCGATTTCAATATCGCGCAGTCTGAGACCACCTTCCGACTCGGAGCACAGAAAACATTTGCCACAATGTAATAGATATCACATATTTGTAATACAACTAGGGCGACTAGAATAGTTGAAGATCGTGTTTGCAAGTCCCTTGCGCAATGTATCTGGGGATCGGATCGCAGGATAATAGTCCCTCACCGAATTACATATTTCATGCATTGGGACCCCGCGATCTCACGCAGACACCAAATCATGCACACTGCATAGGCGCTGGATAGATCAGCTGCATAATTCAAGCTTCGGGGCAACGTTTACGGGGTACTCCGTATAATATGTGATATATCCGATCTCGGCAGGTGCGTGCGAGTGCGCCTCGTGAGATTGTGTCCCAAATGACCAAAGGGGCGGTGAAGCCGAACACTAGAGAGACAGCTTACGGTGCTACGTTGTTTCTAGGAGAGTTTTGGGCTTGATCCTTTTCGGAGCCGTGTAATAGAATGAAAGTTATCACTGGTGGAGGATGAAAGATCAGCACATCATGCAACAGGGTTATGTTCCAGTAGGCGCCGAGAGAGCATTTCCAGGTCCAGGGCATATCCCAATCAGGGACAAAGGACCAAAATAAATGCGGATTAGACGGAAATAGGTCCCAGATCGAAAATATACCATACGTTGAATAGTGGGAACTCATAATTGATTTTTATTCGATCGCATAAATATGTACGGAGTAGTGAGTCGCGGGTAGGCAATGCTACCCAGCGAAAAAGCGAGAAGGCGCCTTAGGCCCCTACCCTAGTCCGGATTCCGCATTGATGAACTCCGATTTGGAAAAGTGTGGGCTGATAAGGTAGGATCTCAAAGCCCCCTCCCAATAATAGGCGGGTTCATCTGCAGCTAGTGCTGTGGGTGTGTCTCGAGACCAACAAGGTTTTTTTCTTCGGGTCTTTGCGCTGCGTGTCGAAGGGTTGGGGAATTCGTACTCCGTACGGGGAGCCGATCAAAGCAAGATCAGCAGCCACTACCGATTCGGGCACCCTATAGGGGGAATAGAGGGGAATGTGCCTGGGAGGCAAAGCCATGCCCTGCACAGCCTGCAGCTAAGGGGACCCCGAAGGCCGAAGGGCTGAGAAAAATTTCAGCTTCCCCAACCACCCCCCGATGAGGAACGGAATATGGGGGATTTACTTTTCCGGACTGCTTCACTGCATTTTCGATGATACATCATGTATTTGTAAAAGAAGACAATTTCGGTAATATCGGATCTAGATAAAAGTAATAAAAGTAATAACCGTATTAAGAGTAATATGCAACAATCATCATTGTTCTAGGGCAATCCTACCTAAGTAGAGTCTCAGGTAGAGTTCTCCAAATGGCCCTTGGTATGTAGGCAGTGGCGGTCATCACTAAGAGATCTTCCTAATCGGGTAACGTTCCAATTGTCGACGACGTCACGTTTTGTTGTTTTTTTCCAGTATGTACTATGTGTACTATGTTATATTTTGGTGGGCCGTTGAAGGTTCCATTTTGAGAGGATCTTCGAATTCTCATTGGTTTTGAGGCTATTGCCACTCTGTTAGCGCTTAGGTCTGGTTGGTGCGTCCATGTAAGTGTCTTTTTTGGTCTGACATAACATAACTGTAATTAATTACCTTCGACGCTTCCTTCACTTCTTTAAATGGTAATAAATGGTATTGACAGTAACCATACCATCGGTCCCCATAACACACCCCTCCCCTCTTTTTCCCTTCGCCTCTTCCCACACACTCTCATTCTCATTAATCCTTCTTACCTCTTTCAATCCCATCGATCTTTCCTATATTTTCTATATTTTTCTATTTGTAACTTTCTTATATTCTCTCTTCTCTCTTCTCTCTGTCGCGTGCTGGCTTCTCACAACACAATGTCTGCCTACTTCTATAACCAACACCAGCAACACCAGCAACACTCTCACCATGGTGCTCATATGCAATCTGCCTCTAATACCCACCACGGGCGCTCTCGTCGTGCCCCGAAGATGGCCTCGCAGAATGCTCAGCGTCAGTTCCGAGGAGTCAAGAGTATGCGGGAATTGGCGGAAGCTCCGGCTGTGACGGCCTTCCGTGCAAGATTCGAGGCTGGTCGTTCCTTTGATCTGGATGACGACCTCGAGTTCTGCCCAGGTCTCCTGACTGAGGATGATGTATGTCGTGATTGGCGAATTCTCAACCCCCTTATTCGTCACCCCCCTTACCCCCCTTGAAGATCGTAACAAATCTCAATTCGGATAAACCATCAGGGGTCAGTTTTGTTGACATGTTTTATTTATAGCTGCACTCCATCCACTCTGCTTCCGACCGCTCTTCTCTCTCCAGCGGCTCACCGGACACTTCGCCTCTGCAGCACCAAATCCAACCGGTGCAGCAGGTGACCCCGTCCATCTCTTTGTCCCCCGCTCAAACCAACTCATACGTTCACTCTGGTGTTGCCGGCAACCCTAATCATGTCAACTACCAGCAACAGCAGCCTGCGAACCGAACCCGCAAGGTCATTCCGATTATCAACCCCTCGACCGGAATGACCCTGTCGAGCCCACCTTCATCGATCTCGCCCGCGATGATGCAGACTGCTCAGCGTCGATGGTAAGGGTGCCATCTGTCAAAGTCGTAGGCCGGCACCCTACATCTCCATTCGTCCATTGCACGTCCGTTATTACAGCTGTTCTGCATCATCGGGGTCCCTTAATCGCAGGTCATAATGTTTTCTTTTTCTCCACTTGCATTCTTGTTCGATACGTCTATTACATTCGACACGACACACAACCTGGAAAAATACTTGTTCCACGAACACGGCGACCAAAAAAAAAAATCTTCCAAAAATTCGAAAACAAAAAACCGACCTGTACATACACTCTCCTCTTCGCCGATTACGACCACCTTCGCCTCATATTCTAGATCCTTTGCGATACTCTTAGCTTGTTGCGAGCGACGGCGCCTGCGATTCAATACCTTGCATCCTTTTCCTACGATACCTCTTTCGTCTCTCAGGGAGGGACGAATACTTTCTTCGGCCTATGTTTCTTTTTTCCGGTCGGGCCACCGATGATGTACAGAACACACGTGCAGTGACATTGCTACTTGACGTTGCATGTTCATGACCTTTGGAGTTGATTTTACCTTTTTTATGGGAGGTTTTTGCGTGCAAACGACTTTGCCAGATACACCTACACTGTGGCACTTTTTTTTAACTTTCTTTCTACGATCTCTTTGTTTGGGTTTTTTTTACCGGGGCGGGAATGGATATCATTTTCAAGGATCTAGAGGCGGAAACGATACACGTCTGCATTGCTTGGGCACTGTTGAATATCTTGGGTTGTTTTTTATTGCTTTGTTATCTTCTACTTTTCTCATCTTTTACGGATTGTTTCTCTGTACATGGAATTTGGGGATTGGTGAACAACACTTCCTTGCTACTGGTATGTGGCTGGTTGGGTATGGTAGCGAAACCATGGGATGCGGAGTTGTTTCTTGTTTGAAATCGATATCCTTGGGGGTCTCTCGCGGTGTGCGAGTCTAGACCATTATGCACTTAAAATGCTTTCATTATTACTCTCCTTTCATCTCTTGTTTTGGCTCTGTATTTCTTTTATTTCCTTTTTGGGAGACTCCCGGAGAGTTAGGACATTGTATGGTGTTAATTTGCATACTATCAAGTTCAATTACATCTCTTATTGGTATCGTCTTAGGACTTTGGAAATATTAGGATGTAGATTGCGTTGTGATACGCTTGGACAAAGCAATCTATTTGCTTTCTTGGCTGCTGGGCATCTAGATATGTCTCCGAGCCCACTGCTCC